CAGCCGTGACACACGACGCAGTCAGGCCTGAATGCACAGCCGTGACACACGACGCAGTCAGGCCTGAATGCGCAGCCGTGACACACGACGCAGTCAGGCCTGAATGCGCAGCCGTGACACACGACGCAGTCAGGCCTGAATGTGCAGCCGTGACACACGAGCCGGGGCCGGGCCCAGCGCGGGCTCTGGATTTCGACCAAAACCCCCGAAAAGTCAAGTGCATCAGAAAAGTCGATCCTAAGAGATCCAGAAACAAACACCCACACAAAGGCTGGCAGGGAGGGCGGGAAAAGCCGGGGGCAGGCAAACGGCCGGACGCCGGGGCCGCAGAGGAGGCCTGGTGGGGCGGCAGAGACGCTGGCGGCCATGGGGCCGAGGGAGCCCGTGAACTGGCCCAGAGCCCAGGGCGCACAGCCACGTGGCAGCCTCCTGACGTAGCTCAACAGGCCTCCACGCCCACGACATGCTCGCCAGGTTAGCCTGAGTGAGGGCCCACCACACCCAGAGGCCAGGGCCCGCCGTGAGCCGACAGGACACGTGGCGCCTGCAAGCCGCGGTCCCCAGACCCACGAGGCGCGGCCACAGGGCAAGGGGCAGGCTGTGTGGGCAGGGCTATGAGAAGGGCGGGGCCAGGCCCCGCGCTGGCAGCAGCTGCAGGAAAGGTGCCTCTGATGCCTGGCAGGACGTCCAGACACAGGCCAGACACGGACAGGGAGGAGACTGAGGCCAACACCAGGAAGCTGCCCGCGGGGTGCTGCGGAGGGCGTGAGGGCCCAGGAGCAGCCCGTGAAGCTGCACATGACGGAGAGTGCTGTAGACTCCAGGATAAACAGAAAATGAAGCGTGACCATGAGACAGCCTGAGTCTGCTGGTGAAGTCACGCTCATGGGAGCACTCCCAGCCAGGACGGGTGAGCTGTTCTGACTTGAAGAATCCACAATTTTACCCTAAAAGGAAACTGCCAGAGATCAGAGGGGTAAGCAATGACCCTCAAGGCATGTGCTGAGGTGTCTTCGCTTTGCCATCTGGACAGAGGTGGGGTGTGGGGGCCAGCATGCCCCGTGGACGACAGCCACAGTTGCACATGAGCTTACGGTTTTCTCCTTTTGGCAAAAAAGCTTTTAGGGAAATGAAGAAGAAAAATTTCTAAACACTATGAAAAGTCACGGGCCAAACATCTTAAAACGACTTGCAATAGCAACTGCTGGAGAGGATGTGGAGAAAAAGGAACTCTCCTGCACTGCTGGTGGGAATGCAAACTGGTGCAACCACTATGGAAAACTGCTTGGAGGTTCCGCAAACTGCTTAACATGGAGCTTCCCTAGGACCCAGCAATCCCCCTCCTAGGGATCTACGCAAAAGACACAAAACACTGATTCAAAAAGACACCTGCACCCCCATGTTTATTGCTGCTTTATTCACAATTGGAAAGACATGGAAACAGCCCAAATGCCCAGAAGTGGATGACTGGATTAAAAAGATGTGGTCCTGGGCCCTCCCTGGTGGTGCAGCAGGTTAAAGCACAGCATTGAGAATCTAAAGCCACCTCCACATGAGTTCGATTCCTGCCTGCCCCGGAGGTGACCACAGGGCGCGGCAGACCTCTCCTGACCCACCTGCTGCTCCCCTCAGCAGTGTACTTCGTCGATCTGCCTGTTCTGCTCCCCGCTCTGTCTCTGGTGAAGCCTCTCACCGCCCCTGAGCCTCTGGCCTGTACCCCAGTTCTGTATGCACAAATAAATCTTAAAAAAAAAAAAGTTGTGGTCCGTATACACAATGGAATATTACTCAGCAACCAAAAAAGATAAACTCCTGCCTTTTGCAGCAATGTGGATGGAGCTGGAAGGGACCATGCTTAGTGAGATAAGCCAGAAAGAAAAGGAAAAATACCAGATGGCTTCACTCACAGCAGGAGTATAAAGGAGAAAATAATGGTAATGATGAGCAGCTACAGACCAGAGACATTTTGTGGGGGTGGAGTGGGGAATGGGGTCAAAAACAGTGGGGGGAGGGAAGTACACTGGACTGTGGTGATGGCACAGGGTGATTTGGTGATGGGCAGCCCACAGGGACTGCAACTGAGACGGAAAAAGGCACAAAATGATGTAAAAATAAACTACTATGTTATTAAAAAAAAAAAGGCACAGGCCCAAAACACAGAGCCAGCAAATACTGCACCAAAGGGCCAGCTGTGGCCCGAGGACACAGGGCGCCAACCTGTGCCGCCCTGCCCGGCTGAGCTCGCCAGATGCCCCAGGGGCCCGGCGGAGGCGGCGGGAGGGTCCCGTGGGAGCAGAGACACCGCGGATGGCGTGGGGGCCGCATGGCACGGGCGTGAGGGGCCCCGGGTTCGTGCGGAGCCACAGAGGAAAGACAAATGCACTGTACCAAAGTGCCAGCGTCGCCCAGCAGGGGCCCAGGTGGGTGTGACCCCAGGTTCCTGGCTCCACCTCAGGGCGCCCGCCAACCCGCTGTGAGGGCAGCAGTCCACGTAGACCCCCCAAGACTGGGCGGCAGCTCCGAGGAGGGGTGCCGATGGGGCGCCAAGACCACCACCAGGCCGCACATGGCAGCACCCGCAAGCAGGGCACCCCAGGCCCCGCGGGCGCAGGGCACCGGCACACGCTGCCCCAGTTACACCCACGGCGCAGTGGAGCGGGACGCCTGCGCTCGGCCCCGGCTGTGTGCGGGGACCCGAGCTGCCCACCAAGAGACCGGCCCTGGAAGGGTCACGGGGTCACAGCCAACAGAGCAAATCAAACGAAAGATAAACGTGGGGGAGCCCCAGCTCACACTCCAGCATCAGACCCGCCCCTCCAGGGTCCACTGGCCACCCCAGCGCCCCCCCTCCCTTCTCCTGACCCCCAACACCTCACCCCAGGGCACCACAGGGACCTCCAGAACACGGCTGGTCCTGGCTGGCGGCGCCCCACCCCCACCGCCGCTCAGGACACCCTCTCTGCAGTCCTGGTGGGACCCCGCACACAGGGCGGCCCCAGCCTCCGGTCCGCCACCCCCCCACCTCCACCGATGCCCCAGGGGCGTGGGGCCAGGTGGGCGAGCCTGCCTTGTCCTGAACCCCCTTCCGATGGTCAAGGCCACCTGCCGAGTCGGGGTGCCCTCAGCTCTACGCACACGGCCCCGCATGTGAGGCAGCCCTGACCCTGGCTGAAGGGAGCAAAGGTGGCCAAGAGGGACCAGGGGTGACTCAGGGGCACCCAGGCACAAAAACAGGGGTGCTGAGTTGGCACTCAGCCACAGGCGAGGCCCAGGGCACCCACCCAGCCTGTCAGCCTCCTCTCCCTGCTGGCCCGCAGACAGCCCTGCCTGGACGCCCAGCCCTCGCCCCCGGCCCGGCCAGGCAGCTGCCCGCAGGGTCCTGGCCTCGCTGGGCCTCCGCAATTCCACGCTGCGCCACCCCACCCTGCGGGTCCCCCCCACTCAGTCCTGGCGCCCCATATGCTGGCGTTTCCCCAAGATCCTTGGAGGTTTTGAGTCACCCACCACCCAGGAGGTGGCCAGGCCCTGCCATCCCGATCGCGCTGGGGTTTAGGCGGGGTCCTCTCTCCCCAGACAGCAGCTGCTCCTTGCCAGACTCGCTTTTTTTAAAAAAGAGATTTATTTATGCACAAAAGAACCGGGGTGCAGGTCAGAGGTACAGGGCTGAGGATTCACCAGAGAAGAGTGGGGAGCATGCCAGGCGTGTCCACCGAGTTACACTGCCAAGGGCAGTGCAGAGACCTGTGGGTCACCCCCTGGCGGGAACCACTCAGGCCGCAGGGGTGACCGCCGGAGGTTGACGGCCGGCCACCGGGAGGCCCCTCGCCGCTGCTCCCCGACACCGCGCCCGCCCGGCTCGTCTGCCCTCTGAACAGCGCCTTTTGAGGAAAGCTGATTGCTGTCTCGGGAGGCCCCTCCCTGGCGGGCTGGCCTCCAGTCCAGCGGGCAGTCTCTGCCCCTCCACGGCAGGGCCCCGCACCGCCCGCGCCCCCAGTGGCTGTGCAGCTTGCCAGGCCAAAGGCCTGGGCTGAGGTGTGGCCGCAGGAAGGGCCAGGGCTGGGGCGGGCACAGGGGGCGGGGCAGGGCCATCCTCTCCCCCCACCTGGGGGCCAGCACAGGCGTCCCCAGACACAGGGACACACCCAGGGTTATGCCAGAATCGTCCTGAGGTGAGCAGAGACCTGGGGTGAGCCAGGGTGAACAGAGACCTGGGGTTCGCACTCTGCTCTGTGAAGCCAGGCTCTCAGGGCCTTGGGGCGGGCGAGCAGGGCACCATGTCCAGGGCGAGGGGTGGTGGCAGCCCAGCGGGCCGGAGCGGCTCCTGCGTGCGCCAGGCTGGTGGTATGGCGCCAGGGCTGGACGAGGGGCCCCCTGGGGCTGGCTGAGATACTGCGAGGCAGAATCGGGGGTGGCCCTGCAGGGCGGCAGCAGGTGTCCAGCAGGGTAAAGCTTCTGGGCTGGCAGCTGCTGCCCTTGCTGAGGTCGGGCCACACCCCCCCGGGAGGTCCCGGCAGGCCGGGTGTCCAGGGGCCGGGAACGGACGTGGCCTCTCAGGAGGGCTGGCGCGGGGCAGGGCTGAGGCTGCCGGCCCAGCCCCCAGCGGGGCGTGGCCGGGCAGCAGGCGGGGCAGGTCCCGCACAGGCGGCTCTTTGTCGGCCCAGCCGCCTGGAAACAGTGGCCCTCTGTCCACACGCCCCCCACCCCCAAAGCACTGGCCCAGGAGAGCAGCAGACCACCCAGCACCCCTCTGGTGCCCCGGGCACCCCGCACTGGATAGGAGACGGCCAGCAGGCAGCTCAGGCCTCCTGCGCCCGAGGCCAGCGGCCAGGCCTTCTGGGGCAGCTCCCTGCAGGGACATCCCCAGCCCATCACCGCAGCCTCGGGGCAGCCCCTCCAGACGCTCTCCCGGGCCCTGGGCGGCCAGGCGGCGGGATCCAGAGGAGGCCAGGCAGGGCCCCGGCCGCCCCGGCCAGCTCCTGCCGACAGCGAGCCTGCAGCTGCCGCAGCTCCGCCTCCAAGCAGGCGGCCCTGCTCCTCAGCACCCCGATGGCCTGGGCCGCCCGTAGGCCCCCGGGCGCCGTGGCCGAGCCCCTCACCAGCCGGCAGGGCCCATGGGGCAGGTCCGGAGCCCCGCCGTGCCCCCAGCCCCGCTGCAGGGCCGCCAGCTCCCGCGCCACGGCCTCCCGCACCGCCTGCCGCGCAGCTCTCTGCTCCGGGGCCCTGGCTCCAGCCTGCGGGGGGGATGGCGAGGTCAGCCAAGGGCGCTTGGGCCGGACCCTGCCCAGGAGACGGGGACAGCTGGGCCAGCCCCGAGGCTGACACAGGGACGGGACCAGGCTCCCGGCCTCCGCACAGCCCTGCGGCCTGGACGGGAGGGGGCGGAGGCCGGGCTGCGCGGGCGGCCAGTCCCTGGGAGCTAGAGTCCAGAGCGCAGACCCTGGGGTCGTCCCGCCCCTGTGCTACCTGCTGGCCTCTGGGAGGGGAGCTGGCCCCGGCCGGGGGGCATCTGGGGCCGGCGCTGGCTCTGCGCACAGCCGGAGGAGGGTGCACTTGCTGCCTCGGAACCTGCCCCAGCCCCAGAGACCTGCTCCAGGCCCCACAGAAGTCCTAGGGGACCCTGCAGGGCCAGCCCAGCCTCATTCCTCCTGAGGGGCGCCTGCCCCCCCAGCAGGGCAGCGGGCCAGGGACCCTGCAGGCAGCAGGCCTGAGGGCACCGCGGGAAGGAGTCGGCGCAGCCCCCGCGGGGCCACACAGGCCACAGGGCGGGGATGGCAGGGGCCGGCAGAGGCCCAGGAGAACAAAGGGACCTCCGAGGGGGCCCCTCGTGAAGCCGGGGGGCCACCCCACAACCCCTCGGTCACCAGTCTGCCCGGCCAGCAAACCGCCCAGGGCTCCTCGCCCCGTCCTCACCCTGGCCTCCCAGGCCGCCCGCCGGGGCCGCGCTGCCCGCTCCAGCTGCGCCTGCAGCACCTGCAGCTCCCCGGACAGCAGGTCCAGCTGGCCGACCCCGCGCTGGGGGATCCTGGGCAGAAGCGTGGGCTCTGCGGCCTCCGGGGCACCCGCACCCAGCACCGAGTCCTGCGGGAGAGGCCCGCGTGAGGCGCCAGGCTCGGCCGCCAGCCCCAGGCGCACCCAGCCTGCACACGGGCAGCCCCACGGGGCCAGGCCCGCTCCCGGGTCGCCCGCTCCCGGGTCACACCGCGGCTCCCAGTCTCTCTTCCCAACCCCCCAGGGTTCTGGGGCCGGGCGGGGGGCGGGGGGCTGCGGGGAGCAGGCGGCTTCCTGACCATCCACTGCCAGAAGACCAGCTCGCCGCGGCGCCACTGCAGAAAGGCCTCCAGACGCGTGTTCTCGCCCTCCAGCCTCCGGAGCAGCTGCGGCCAACCAGACAGCGGGGTGAGCGCCGCAGGGCCGCCCGCCCCACCCGGGCCCCAGCTCGCGCCCACGCCACCTCCGCAGTCCTGCGGCAGCAGCCTTCCCGGCCCCCACCCCCACGGGAACCTAGGCCCCCGCAGCGGGCCTAGGTAGGGTGGGGCTGAAGCGAGGACATGCTGCCGCCAAGGGGACCAGGGGCAGGAAACTGGGGCTCCCCGAGTCCCCCTAAATGGGGGACGGAGCGAAGGGCACGTGGGAAGCCCCAGATGCTGCCCTGCCCACAGCCCCAGCCCTGCTGCCCCACAGCAGCCCGCCGACGCCCGTCAGCCCTGGGTGGCCCTGGTCCCTGCCCAGGTCACGGCCTGGGGAGGAGGGGACAGAGCAGGGTGTCTGCCTGGGAGGGGCCACCCTGGCAGGTCCCAGCCCTCCTGCCCAGTCATGCGCCCGGACCAGGCCAAGCACCCCTTCCTGGAGCACCAACACCCTGTCCTCAGGGACCGGCCAGTTGAGTCTGGACCAGGACCCTGGACCACCCAAGATGAGAAAGTGGGTGACAGGTGGGAAGCCCGAGGGCCAGCAGAGCGTGGGTGCGCTGGACAGGCCCAGCTCCGCCCTCCATCACGAGGCACCACCTGGCCGCTGCCAGCCCAGTCTGGCTCGGCCACGGCCCCACAGCCCACACAGCCTCCAGGATTCCCATGGCAAAATTCGGCCGGCCGGGGCAGCCGTGAGCTGGGCCAGCACCCATGCCACAGCTAGAGAGCTGTGAGCCTGGCCCCAGCGTGAGCGCCCGGCGGCAGCCCCTCACCTGCCGGCCGCCCTCTGGGTCCCTGAGCAGCTCCGTCTCCGCGACAGACAGGTGGCCAAGGCTCCGGTCGCTGTGGCAACCTCGGGTGTATGCGTGGATCTGAAACAGTGCAGGCCCAGGCTGGCAGGTGGAGCGGGCAGCCCAGGCAAGAGGAGGCAGGGCTCTGCAGGCTGGGCCCCCACAGGCAGTGGTGGGGCCAGAGTCACCATCTGGTGATGTAAGCAAACCCCCCAGTGCAGGAAAGCTGAAGGTAGTGGCAGGGACCAAGCAGGAGGGGCAGCTGGAGCCCAAGCCAGGTGGCCGAGCCTCCAGGGGGCAAGAGTAGCAGACGGCAGGGTAGCCAGGGAGCCAGAGGCCGGGGGCCGGGGAACAGGGAGTCAAGGGGTGAAGGTTCAGGTCTCAGGGCGGGGCCTGCGGCCATCTGTCCCGGCACCCCTTGGCCCAGACCTTGTGCGGGGCCCTCAGTGCGTCCCACCCGCCAGCAGGAGCCTTCCACTGGCTGCCCACTGCCGCACCAGCCCACACCCAGCCACAGGCCAGGGCGCCAGTGGGAGCTGCGCAGGGTGGACAGGCGCCAGCAGGGAGTGCGCAGCCTGCAGGGCAGGCAGGGGCTGGGGGCGACGGCCCGCCGCGGACGCCACCTTGCTCAGGAGGGCGCACTGCTCCTGCTGGCTGGCCACCAGGGCTCGGCTCCGGAACCGCAGCTTTCCCATCAGCCACTGCAGGTAGCGGACATCCACCGGGCCGTCTGCTTCCGCGTGGGGTGCAGGGGGGCCGGGGCTGGCCAGGGCCTCACACTGCAGAGGAGCGAGGGTCACACCCTGCTCTCACAGCCCCAGGGGAGTCCCAGCAGGGAGAGAAGGCGGTATCCCGGCCCTCCCCCCGGGGAGGGCTGTGGGCACTGCCAGGCGGGCCGGCGGGCGCACACTGCGCGTGCGCCGGAGGAGAGGCGGGACCCGAGACCGAGTGGGCGGCCAGCCTGGGAGGAAGTGCCCACCCCGGCTGCACTCGCTCTGGCCCCGGACCACATAAACACACCTGGCACAGCGGCATCTCGTCCCCCAGCCGCACACGGGTGTGGGTCAGCAGCCCTTGGAGTAAGGGCCCGCGGGCCAGGAGCCAGGCCAAGGCCAGCAGCAGCTCTCGGCTGCCCTGGGAGCCGTCCTCAGGGAGCCGCACTAGCGCCCACCGCGGGTAGCCCTGGTGGCGCAGCGCAGACTTCACCAGGCGGGCTTCGACCTCTGCAGAGGGAGGACCACTGGCTCAGGGGGGCCACCCCTGGAAGTGACCCAGGCCAGAACGCCCCGGCAGAGGCCCGGCCCTGACGGGACAACCGGGGGATTGGGACTTCACCAATTTAGGGGCCTGAGGCTCAGACCTGCAAGGTGGACAGGACTGGGTACCCGGAGGGGGCGTGGCCAGGGCTCGTGGGCGTGGCTTATCTGGGCGAGCAGGCCAGATACGGGAGGAGAGGAGCGTCCGGGAAGAGGGGCTCTCGGGGGGCGGGGCTCGTCGGGAGGTGGGCTGCCCGGGGCGGGGCTTCGCGGCCGTGGGCGGGGCCTACCCGGGGTCGGTGCGGGCGCGTAGCTGGCTGCGGGTGGCGGGCAGAGCACGTGGAAGAGCAGCCGCCAGAGCGCGGGCCCCTGCGGGAGTCAGAGAGCGGCGGTCGGCCGGTCCGGCCCTCCTCCCTGCGCCCGCAGGGTCCCGGCCGCTGCCCCGCGGGCCTCACCGCCTCCGGACGGTCGAACTTGGCTCGGCGGAAGGTCTCGGGGCAAGGTCCATCGGGCAGCGTCCGACTCAGCGCGGCGATGGCCTCGGGCAGGCCCACGGACCCGTCCTCCCGGCCC